TGTGGTCAGTTGTGACCTGGAGTAGCTCCCGTGGTGAGACAGAAAAAGAAAAACCCAATTCTTCCCTCTGAGGAGGAGAATTATTTCCAGCATCATCACGAGAAAACAAAGCGGACCAAGAGGGATTATTTTCCCCAAACAAGATACTGTTTGAAAACACCTACTTGGCATCACGCATAATTTTTTTCTTCCCTGCTTGTTGCAACTTTGCCAAATCCAAAAATTTCAATACTGAGTTGGCCTCTAAATTCACAAGACCAGCTTAAAATTCCTGAGCTTGTTGTTTTATTTTGAAAAAATCTCATTCTTTTCGTTCAGTGCTTACTGCTGGAGCCCTAAAAGACCACATTTTCACGGGTCTCTTTGACCACAGCAGCTAAAAACACTCTTTTGCTCCCCCCTCTGCCCCCTATTTTCCTGATTTCCCATCGATCGAATGAATTCTGGAGCTGGGCCCCAAAGCAAACACGAAGTGTTGGAAGATTTGCAACTGATGGTAGGAGTTGTCAAGAGCTGTTGTCAGCACAGAGTACAAGATGTGTGTGAACCATCCCCAGCAACTGTTCCTTCCCAAGCCAGCTCTTCTGACAAGACAGAAAGCACACGGAGCCGCCTTTCCCGGCACAGATACCCGCCGCAGAAGATGAAACGAGAGCTTACCCTGCTGTCAGTTTGAGCGGTGTTGGGTTTGAGCTGGAGAAACACCCCCGCACATGCACACACCTGCTCCCACATACTCTGGCTCAGCCCCAACCATCCCTGCACCGCGCTTTACGTTCAAGGCTGAGCGGGTTTTGCTGCCGGGACACGTCGCGGTGCCCAGGATCAGGTTGGGACGGCTGGAGCTTGCCGGGGACCCACGGACCTGCTGGGCAGGAGCAGGCGGAGCGGCCAGGGCTGGCTGCCCGTGCCCGGGCTCCAGGAGGACACAGCGGCTTTGTTTGGCTGTGCGCGGTGTGGGAGGCTCCCCCAGCTTGGCACCAGAAGGTTAGTGCTTTTTAAAAGACTATTGTTTTCACCCTGTGTTTTTGCAAAAACAATGGGCTAGCTGGGCAGAGGCACGAGAGCCACCCTGGCTGCTTCTGCCTCGAGTTTCTGCTGCCGTGGGCACCTCCCCGCTGTGCTCCTGGCCCCCCGACCTCCTTCCCATGCCACCGCAGCTCAGACCCTCCATCCCACCGAGCTTGTGTTCCCTCACATCTCCCCCTTGTTTCTTTCCCTGTTCCTCACTCAGTAGGAGAGGTCGCTGCTGTGTCAGGAGCACCACCAAGAGCAGAGCAGAAACACACAAAGGTGCTTCCCCAAAGCTAAGACTTCTCCAGCCTTGGCCTTGCAGGGGCATCTCAGCTTTTCTTGTGGTAAACCAGCCACCCGGCCAAAGCTAATTGCCCTCATCACTGCACAGCTGGACCTAAAGATTCCCTGTGAGATGCCTCAGCAACCATGGGGCTAATGATCCAAATAAGAGAGAACCCCAAAATATATTTGGAAAAAACCCCGCGTATGCTTTGGGACTCGGTCTGTGGTATCAGAGCTGGGATCAGCAGGATCTCCAGGGGGTTTTAGCTGGGTTCCAACCAAGATGCAACACACCCCCTTTTCTTAGGAGAGCTAGGTTCAGGGTTTGTCCTCCCTGGCTTTCACTGTTATCAAATGCCTGCCTAAGGGGATTTATTAAATCAATTAACTCCTGTATAATAACGACAGGAATGCAGATTTCCTCTGCTCACAGGGGCAGGTGGACTCAGCCAGGATCCCAAGGGGGTTGGCCCTGTCCCCAGGACACCGGGGGCAAGATTGGCTTCATGGTGATGCCAAGAAAGCAGGTGCTTATCTCCACAGAATGATTTTTTTGCTGTAACTGGATTAGCATGGAAGGTGTTTTTCCTTGGAGGAGTTGCAAGGTAACGCCTCATTATGTAAAGGATCCAAACAGCAAAGGGCTGTTGCTAATTGGCAAAAATATTTAAGTTTCCCACCTGGAGCTGGTTGAGTTTGCTGATGAAGTTGTCTGCAGCTCAGCTGCCCACCAGCATGGGGGCTGAGGAAGGACCCTAGCTCCTGGAGTGGGTGGCTGTCGGTGAGCCTCGGTGCTGGATGGAGGATGCTCTTCCAGGGAGTGAAGGTGAGGAGCAGGTTAACACCCAGAAGGTGTTTCCTAGGTGTAGGCAAAGTGTTTGGCTTGGCTTGTCTCATCTCATAGCTCCCTTCCAACGGCAGGAACAAATATTTCCTTAGTATAATGACTGGAATGATGAAAATTCACTGTCTCGGTCTTAAATGAGGAGCAGCTTCCTGGTCTGTGTCCCCAGCTTGCCCCACAGATAAGGGCTGTAAGGCTCTTTGATCAAGATAACAGGGAGCCAGACCTGTCCCTGCTCTTGACAAATTTTAGTCTTGTGATCCAGTTCCTGGGCCGTGGTGGTTTCACACAGCAGCAGAGAGGGACGCTTCTCAAATTGAGGTACTGTAACTTCATGTCTTTAACTTTAAGCCTCTCTTAACTGCTAATGGTGAAAGAAACAGTCTCCAAGCCCCTCCATAAAGCCCTGGTCCAGCTGGGGCAGGTGGGTGAAGGGTGGGAAGATCTGGCCTTTAACCTCGAGGAGTTTTTCCCAGCACGCAGCTACTGCGTACTCTGCTGTACCTCGACAGCTTTTGCAGTCAGATCCAGGGGTGGAGAACTTGGCTAAGGTGTTTCTCATCTATATAGCCTTTTCAGTGGGGTGAGATACGTGAATAAAAGTGCTGAAACTTCGGGTTTACGGTGTCAGGCTTTAAATGCAAACAGCTAAACTGGGAGGTTTCATGGGGGCAGAGCGAGCCCTGCAGCAGCACCAGGAGCAGCTCCGAGCCAAGTGCTTGGACAAATCTGGTATGTCCAGAGCTGTAACCAGTGCTCTGATCTCTCGCATCACGCCTGAGAGCCGCACTGCTAATCCTTTGTATCTGTGCACACACGAGAGGAGAATGTCTCTGTTGTTTTCTTGCTCTGGCCAGACCTTCCTTCCCTTCCTCCTGCAAAGTGCAGGCTTGAGGACACAGCCCAGACCTTCAGTTTCTGGGAGAATTTGGGGGCACAGCTACTGGCCACTGGCTCAGTTGTGCCAAAGAGGCTTTTGGTCATTTAGAGCTTATTGTGCTGAGCGAGTTGGCAGATGCTCTGAACTGGCAGAGAAGGAGGGAGATCGTCACATGGAACAAAGTGCTGTCTCCTGGCAAAAACAAGGAGAAAGTCCAGTCTGCAGGCTTACCCACCGAGCGCAATACGGTGCTTAAAAGTCATCCTGCGGAAAAGTAATGGGCAATCTGGTTGAACGGTATTAGCGGTACGAGTGTCCAGTGGGTGGTGTTGCTCTAAGCGCTGTCTCCGAATGCTCTCTCCATGAAGAAACTGTCATCTAAGTAGATATTTAAATAATGGCAAAGGCTTTTTGACCTCAAAGAGTGCAGGGGTGAGAGGAGGGCATGTGTCACAAAGAAGATAGCACCGTTTTCCTTGCTCAACCTTTTACATTCTTCACCCTTTAAATAAAAATGAGTATTAATAAATCCAGCAGACCCTAACCCCCGCTCCCCCACTTAGAGTCAAGTGCCAAGGGGAATGAGGTCCTCAAAGGAGAATGTGCAAAAAAAACTTGGTCATGAAAAGAAAACAGCAGCAATGTTGAACTGATGAGTAGCGATTCAAACGGCAGTCTTGGCCCTTTGAATAGCACTGACATTAGTGAAGCTCTGACTAAATCACTAGTCCTGCATGCCATGTCTTTTCCCTTGGTCTCCTGGCCACCTCTGTTTACGTTTTGTTGCCACTGAGAGTCGCCTTTCTTGTGGCTACGCTGCCGTTGTTTAATTACAGTTCTGACTATTCACATTAAATGTCAAGCAACCCTTAAGTAAATGAGAGCTTTCTAAATGCCACTCTAACCATTCATTTCTGTTTTCCGAAGCCTGTAGAGCAGTTTCTGCCTTGCCTTATGCAGCTATAAACCCTGAGTAACTGTGTTGAAGTACATAGGATTATTTCTATTTCACTGCACAAGTAGGATCAAACCGAAGCTCCAGGGACAGCAGTTTATCTTCCCAGAGTAAGCACTTGTTTTTCTAATATGATTGCAAATTAATTCCAGAGATAATGTGATACCATGTAATTGAGAGTCCCCTGAGCTGCTACCAGAGCCTATTTTTGCCAAGCCCTCTGCACACCAATGGGGATGTTATTGCACCACCAGTAATGAAAATTTAGGAAGTCCTTGCTTGCTTTGAAGGTTTGTGTCCTATGCCCCTGTGCTGCTGAAAGTCTCTCTCTCATCCCAGAAAATCTGTGCAATAATAAATTTTCTTTCCTTCTCCCACCTTCCCGCATTCCTATATTGCTTGACATGAGACGGGCCAAAGGCTATGTGTGCTGCAGTTGTCCCAAGGTTGATTGCTGGATCTTGGCAGGCTAAAGAGAGAAAAAAGCTGTGTAGAGGGTGCTGCAGCCCTTCTCCCGTCTGGGATGCTAATTTGAGTATTTCCTCAGCCCAACCATCAATTTTTCATGGAATTTGTAAGCGCGTACTTGTCCCTGAGACCTCTAACCTACTGTTGGACAGGACTGAAGCAGGCCAGCAGCTTCCCATCTTATTCATGCCTGCTGCCGAGCTGGGGGTTTAAAAGCTTAGGAGCTACTAGCATAGAAAATTTGCCCCTCAGAGTTCCCCTGAAACACACTTTTGAGCGAGACAGGGAAAGGGAATGATGTCTCCAGATGGCTGCGAAGGCAGTCGGGGGGTGCCTGGGGGTCAGTGCTGCCTGGGGCTCTGCGATTCTGCAGGATGCAGGCGTACATGCTGATGGAGAGGGGCCCCGTGCTGACCAGGGGGACCTGTCGGTGCCTGGGGTAGCTCTTCCCAACCTGGCTGTGCTCTCTAGATGCTGTGGCAATGCAAAGTGAGAAGGATGCTAGTAAGAGTCGCAGTGTAAACCCTATTTCTGCAAGGCTCAAAGACAGCTGATCAGAAGAAACCTGTTTATTGTGAGGTTTAGGAAAACAATTTTTATGCAAATTGCTTTTTTTTGGCAAGAAATGGGGTTGATACAGAACTCAGAATTACAGTTTTAAGAATACAAATACATGTATCTTGTTCAACAAACACAAAACAAACTTATTCCCCGGGGAACATTAAATGAGCAAATGTTTGCCAAAATAAATGGGCAACAAGCATGGGATGGGGGGGGATAAAACAAAACAACCCAACTCAGAAGCCAACACCCCACTGAAGAAGCAGCAGTCACATCTTCAATTTTATGCTCAGGCTGTACTTTCACCTTGCTTTTCCTGTTCGATAGCTGCCAGAAAAACAGAGGAAACAAAACCATCATCAATAAACGTTATAACGACTCCGCAGGATACAGATTTCTACGGTCATTCTCAAAGCTAGGGGATGGTTAAGTCCCCACTCGCTTTCTTTGGCCACCCTGGAAATGCCAACCCGCTCCCATGCCTGCGTAGCTAGTAGGGTGCAGTTCACGGTGTGCAAACCTCCTCTTGTATTTATGGCTTTAGCATTGGTAGGGATAATAAAACAGGGAAAAAACAGGTATCTTATGTCGAGGTACAGCGCATCTCTGTGGCTATCAGTACTGACACATCCAAAGTGGTTAGTGATACTCTTCTGAAGGAAACCACTCCCAATGTCTGGTCCAAATGCAGAGAAATGCCATTTTCACATCCAAAGTCGAATGTGAATCACAACCCTCACCTGGCTGCCTGTGCACGGTGCGTGTATGGGAGAAGACCCTGCATCAGAAAAGCCCAGGGGTGCTTTGCTAAGGAAGATTCCTTTTTAGATGAGGAGGATGATGGGTTTCTCTTGCTGCCTTGTTGCCAGAGGAGCCTGGAGCTCTCCTGGCCAGGGCTGGCAGCAGGTACCAGTGGGGGGCAGCAGCTCATCTGCCTGGTAACACCAAATCCAGAGCCCGGGCACCTTCTGGGGATGCTGCCTGGCCTGCCAGGGGTGCGCAAGGGTTCCCCTGGGCGCCCGTGCCTCCGAAGAGGCTGGGAACACGGGAATGACAAACACTTTGATCCTGTTACCTGCGTCCAGCAGAAAAACTGGTCTTGCTTTTAGCAGAAGCAAGAGCAATCCCATCAGAAAGGATTTTTAGGACAAAACGTGCTGTCGGTTGTAACTACTCGTACCCTTGGAAGCCCAGCATAGAGTACAAGCCTTAATATTATCCCCAGTTAAAATCAGGGATGAGTTTGAGCCAGTAATCCTACGATTAGTATTCATTTTGCATATGAACTGCAATACAGATTGTGTCCTTGCTACTCGTAGTTCAAATAGCCTCATAAGCACTTACTTTCTTTAGTGGGCAATGGATTTTTCTCTCTGGTTTCTGTCTTCTTCAGCTTGGTCTTGTCAAATGTTTCAATTTCTGCAAAATCTGGTTTGTCGGACATGATGGGTCCTGACAAAGAAAGAAAAAAAACACACCCGTGGCTTCATTAGCTAGTGCTGTGATATCAGCCATCTGCAAAGCATTTTCTGCTCGAAAGAAAAAATATGAAAATACCATGAAAATGTTTATTCAAAAAACCCCCACAAATCTAACACCTCAATCTGGGACCTCTCCCTGAGGCTTGGCTCTTTCAGAGCAAAAGATGAAAGCCATAAATAGAATTCTATCTAGATTTCTCAGACAAAATTTCTAAAAATCCTATTTTGCACATGGAAACAAAAATATCTCAATAAAGACAAGACAATGCATTAATTGCCAATAATCCACGGCGCCTCCTGACGCAAACCTCTATTTTAAGGAATGCTGCTCACCAGAAAGCCTACAATAAACCCCAAATCCAATGTGAACAAAGAGCTTCAATTATGATTTTGTTTCAATTAATAGGATTCGTCTTTAATTCTGAGCAGCCTCTCCTGAGCGTGTACGTACCCCTGGCTCTGCATGAGCTGCTGTGGACACTTGCGCTTAACAATAGAGGACCGGTTCACCCAGCCCTTTGTTTGCTCTCGCACTCAATATCCCGGTCGCAGGCTCAATGGGTTTGATTATACCCTATTATAAGAGAAATCCACAAAGCACACCGGCATTCAAAGCTTCACCTGTCAAAACTTCCCTAATCCAATTCCTGTTTTTAATAGAAATACAAGTTAAAATCCAGCCTAGGCATTATTCCCCTGATTTCAGTGGAGTTTCCCATCAAGGCGAGGTTTGGCCCGGAGATGGCTGATATAATTACATTTTTTCCTTCCTGAAGACAATCAGACTTCATTGCTATCTGCACTGAGACAACAGAAGTAAATATTCACAGGGAAAAAAAAAAGAAAAAATAAAAGCTACTAAAACCACATGGCATTACCGTCTGGCTGCTCTCTCCTCAGCTGCTTGGTGGCCGTCTGAGGCAGTGTGAGTTGAAAAAGGTCAGGGTAATCCCTCCTCTCCTCTCCTCTCCTCTCCTCCCCCCCCACCCGAGCCCATCGCTATTAATATTGATTAGTTTGGTGCTGGGATTGCTCAGCGTTCAGCGAAAGGACAGATTGCTGCTGCAGAAAGTGCACAAGGGAGGGAAATAGGAAAACTGACATGGAAAACTGCCAAAATACATTTTTTTTTTCTTTTTTCTTTTCTCCTCGTTTACCAAGACAATAATATTTAAATTTCCCTTCCTGCCCTTCTTTTGCAGTGCTGAGGTTCAGAGTTAATGTGAGGTTTGGAGTTCATTTAAGGGCTGGTGCTGCAGTTTGTGGGGAGATTTTAGGCGCATTCAGCAAAGCGCCTGGGGATCATCCCCCACCAGCCAAGGTCAGCAGAAGCACACGCTCGGGGCTCAGGAGGACTCTAAGCACCATCGTGGTACGACTGCGGCAATCGAGGGCCAAATCTGAGATAAGCACCGCCTGAGCACCATGCTGGCATCTGGGAATGTGTCCTGAAAGGCACAACAATGAATCTTTCATTGGCTCCCGTTTTGGTAGCTACAAACCCACATGCTGGTGCCTCCCTCAGCCCGACGGCACGTGGCTCTGCAAGCCAGACCGGGCAGCTGCCCACGGCCGACCTTCCTGCCTTCACTTGGCAAGAAGCCGCGTTTGCCCGGCCTTCTTGCATGGCCGTTCCCTGTACTCCGCCCATCCTGATGGCGTGGACCACGCTGGACTTGCTTGCAGGGAACCTCTTCAGTTGAAGCGAAGGGAGAGTGCGCTGTAGGCACCGAGTGATGTAATTTCAGAAAAACCTTTAAAAGGGAAGTGGTGGAGTCACCACCCCTAGAGGTATTTAAAAGATGTGTAGATGTGGCACTCAGGGACGTGATTTAGCAGTGGACTTGGCGGTGTTAGGTTTATGGTTGGACTCTATGATCTTAAAGGTTCTTTTCCAACCTAAATGATTCTATGAAAATGGCTAATAGCCCTTGCATTTATTTGCAGGACGTGTTTTGTATTAGATGAGGAACTGAATGGAGTGAAGATTGTGCAGTGTGTGAACATCACATGTACCAACCTCCTAGAGCCACTGCTCTCAAGGGCTGTGGACATCCCTGTGGCTGTGACATGGCTCCAGCTATGCTTCCCGCTTTGCAGCACAAAACTACTTGGGGAACCCTTTTTCAAGGCCCTCGGGTTTGGGAGGGAAGGGCTGTGCACTTTCTCCTACATGCTGGTGTGGGTTTCCTCTTGTGTAACTGTGGATGTCTCCATCTGAATTACTTGTCTAGGCTCCATGATAGTCAATAGGGAGGCAACTAACTTGAGATAAAATTAATTGTGCCCTAGGAGTATCCAGGTTTCTCTACTGATTGTAAAGGGAGCCTGGACAACAAGCCCAGAGAGACAGAGATGTCTCACAGCTGACTGAGCGCCCCAGGAAGGTGCTGTGGATCTCTCTGTTGGCATGCTAGGCTTAGGTAGAGTGGGTTTGAGTCTGATATGTGTGCATGGAGAAAATGGGTTTAATGTGTTTAAATGTGTTTTAAGGACCTCTTCTTCCACTGTGTGTTTAAATTAAAATAATGAACACAAATGCAGAAAAAAATATTATTTTTACTCATCAGCATTCATAAATAGTTGTTCCTTTCCACCTAGTGATTCTTTCCTTTATCCATCCCTTTTTCTGTATCTTCAGAGAGTGCAGGGGTTGCTTCGTGCCCTGGGAAACAGCAGCCCTTAGGTTGTCTCTGTGGCTGTGTCTGCAGTATTTGAGGTAAAGGAGAATGGAGTATTGTAGTGGTGGAAAAACCCACACAACGCGGCTCAGCTGGAGCTCCAAAGGGATGGTCTGGGTCCCATTGAGCTCAGTCCTATGCAAACCTGGCTGTGCTGCTTCTGGACCTAAAATTGTCCTGGCACTACTGTAGCTACATTTTTGTTATGCTAAAAACTCAGTTGACTTGTGCAGACTGGCTTGGTTACCTCTGCATCTGCGCTGACTGTCCATGCAAAATCAATGTGTGTGCGTACCAGTCATATTTAGTGTCAGGAGTCGGTTCCCTTCCTTCCATCCCCTTACTCCAACCATCAAAAATAGAAAGCTGTGCTCTTGACCAAAAACCCCTGCAAATAAGCAGGAAGGTGGCCACTGGGTGAATATTTGGTGTACGCCATAGCTGAGATTTGGCACTGAAAAGTCTTAGTGTCTGTTTAAAGAGAGAATATTAACCTCTTGTTAGGTTGGACATCAGATTTAGAAGATCAGAAAAGACTTTAAAATGCAATCTGAATGATTCATGAATTGAGGCAGTTGATGAGTTTCAGTTTTTTAAATATTTGTCCATTCTTCCAAGTAACAGAACTCTTATCTGACAAGATATTATTAGGGAAAAACTCCTAAACTTTTAGACTGGTGCAAATTCTCTCAGATGTGGAGAGCAAACAAAGTGTGCAGGACAGCGAAGGAGAAGACTCTCCCTTCTGGTTTTCTGTATACAGTCACAGGCTTGGCCCTAGCATCCACAGCTGAGCTCAGGCTTCCCTAAACATGCTAAGACAGCGTGGGCACGCTTGTTTTTTCACCACCACCATTTTACTTGCCCAATTTATTGGCAGACCTAGTATTAGAAACAGTCTGGGGTGAGTTGTTTGGCTTTTTAGGCTGAAGATGACCAAGCTTTTAATTGATACTGGGTTGGGTTTCTGAGCAAGGCGCAACTATGTTAGTCCACGTAGCATAATGATGAGAAATTACACGTTCTCACTCTCAGTTGAAATCTGTAGATACTCATCTCCATAACAAACATCTTGACCATTGCATAAAGTGCCTGTCAAGTTTCTGAAGCTTGTAAGTACGGTATTGTGGTCAAACACAGCTCACGCTGGATTCAAGCCACATGTTTACATACTCGGTGCAGGACAGCCAGCCATATGTAGTTTTTCATATGGAAAGTTTGGAGCTGGGCCTGAGGGCATTGCACAGTGCGTTGAGGTTGGTCATGGGAGGAAAGTTGGGTAGGTGGTATTTTACCTGGTCATGGGAGGGAAAGCTGGGTAGGTGATATTTTACTCAGATGTCTTTTACTTTAACTGGAAACTGAGATATTCTTGCTATATAAGCAGCAAAGCAGTTATTTGTCAGGTTTTTAATGGCAGGATTTCAGAGGCACCACCTTCATTAAGGGGAACATGGCATTTACCTGGCCTTGGGATGACTGTGGTAGCAATCAACCACAACGGTCTTAGAGGTGCACAGAGGCAGCTGAATGGTCCAGCATACAGAAGTGAGAAAAACCAGCAAGCCAGCGGAGCAAGCAAACTATAGGATCTTTACAGATCCTATACACATAAAGCATGTAAAGCCATATTGGTATGGCCATGTCTGAAAAGCTGCCTCAGACACAATGGAAATTGCATTTTATTTCAGTCTGCTGCCAAAGGATGAAGGGCTGAGTCAAACCTGCCAGGACTGACACTTCTGATACCAGTGAGTCACCCGCCACTTCTGACCCCGGGGCTCCCCCCGCCACTGACAGCAATAAACCGTGCCTGGCAGCGCAAGCCACCGAGTGTCTGTCAGACACCCACAGAGAAACAGGGGAAAACAAATACTTGCTACCAGGATGCAGTAATAGGTGAGAGGAAATGTTTAAAGGGAGCTCAAGTGCAAAGAAAAATTCAGAGGGGAGTCTGAAGAGTGAGGCTGGGAGGTTGGAAGCCTGCTGCCACTCAGCTTTTTCCCTTGGCTGTTGCCATTTGGAAGCAGCGAGCGCAGCCTGCGCGGGGCTGGGCTGCAGGAACACACACACATATACATATACATATATATATATATATAAAAAAGGGCTGTAGCATTTCATGGGCTGGGGGGATGCTGTGCTCACGTTTGGCACAAGAGGCGCTCTGGAAATGCCAAGTTTCATGGAGACTAGGTGGGCAACTGCAAGAAGCAGCGGTTTCTTTCTCTTTGGTGCAACAGTGGGAATCAGATCACATCTATTTCTACACAGGGCTGAGGAGGGACAAAGCACCCTAACGCGAGCAGCCGGTTAGAGGAACAGACGCTCGAGCAGATCAGTGTCTGTAGCTGAGCCAATAAGCTGACACGACTGATTTTATAATCACATTAGTCCTGTCTCGAAATAACACACCCACTCAAATATACCAGTGATTTCATTTTCAAAATGTTGTGGTATTTTTGGTGCTAAAGGTAAGGGATTAATTTTTCAAGGTCAAAAGCTGGGCTGGAATCTGCAAGCACCCTAACTCCTTTAGGTCCCTATGAGCATTGAGCACCTTCCAGAAAGGTAGAAGGATTGGGTGTGTTATAAGCTACCCTCAGAAGGTTTCCCATCCTTAGGGGAAGAGGAAAAAAAAAAAAAAAAGACTACAGCTTCACTGAAAGGTTTTCTTAGTTCTCTTTGTGCCTTTTGTTCCATCTTGCTGCCAAAAAAAATATCCATGTTTGGGAACGGAGACAGGTTCCCAGGCTAAGAGACAATGAATCCTGGGGGTGTAAGGAAGGCAATGATCTCTCTTTGGCAGGGTGTCTGCTGTAATGCTGCACTGCTAGTGTGTAAATACTCAACACTTGTCTTCTACTTTATGTTTTTTCATTACCTGAGGTGTTTCATCTTCCTTCTTGAGACCATTGAGCCGTAAGAGTAGGTGCGTACAGAGGATGAGGGGAGAGGCTAGCTGTAGATAGTCCTTCTGCTTTTTTTCCAACACCATGTTTTCCAAATAGCTCTGGAGGTTAGACAATCTATACTAGGAGTCCCATTGCAGCAAAGAGCAAAAGGAGAAAACATAAGCTAGTGGGAGTGGAAATTTCCTCTCTCCCTCTTTTTTGGTCTTATACAACTCGGTATGGGGGTGAATTTTTAAAAGTTTAACCAGATGGAGATTCTTGCAGCAGAACTTTCTCGAGATCTGACCCAGAAGTGTGTCTTCCAACATAAAGTACTTGGC